AAAAAAAAAAAAAAAAAAAAAAAAAAAAAAAAAAAAAAAAAAAAAAAAAAAAAAAAAAAAAAAAAAAAAAAAAACAGTTATATGACAAATGCGTAGGGTAGGCATTTATCTGTGTGTAAAGTAACACATGAAACACCTTAATAGGATACCGTGTAAATGTACGGACTACATCCATAAAGATACCTGAGATGCTGAAAGTAAATGAAGGTTTCCACCATGACTTGAATGCCATAGCAAGTGAGGACCTAAGAGGGCCCACCTTCCCCTGTTGACGGCAAAATATAGTTGTAGGACTTGGTTTTTTCCATGATGCATTAAAAAAAAAAAAAAAGAAGAAGTACAGATGCTTGTTATACCTTCAGTAAGAAATTTTTATTCGCTTGCCATGATGCTGCTATTTGAAAAGTGGAATCGGGAATATTATTTTCTGGTTTCACATCATCAACTCTAAAACAAGGTAGATCATAATTTTATAAGAACATTAGAAACTACCAATTGGTCGTGTTCTAACTTATTACTCAAGAATGTATACCTAGTCTGCAACTCAAAGCCAAAGTCAATGTAATTTGTGATTCCAACAATTTCATTTTCTTCAAGGGGGTTCTTCACCTAATTGATTAGAGCAGCTGAAATTTTGTAAGGGATACAAGTAGAAGAAGTATGCATTCTCAAGCCAACAAATGCAAGACAGATATAACTATACATAAAATCTCAGGTAAAAGTAAAAAAAAAAATATTATATATATATATATGTATGTATGTATGTATGTATGTATGTATAGAGAGTGAGAGAGAGAGAGAGAGAGAGAGATAACAAGTGGGAAATGTTAAGAACAACACATCATCATAAGAAAGAATAATAATTGAAGCATCAATGATACAGACACACAACCTGGGTGACAGAGAGAGAGAGAGAGAGATAACAAGTGGGAAATGGTAAGAACAACACATTATCATAAGAAAGAATAATAATTGAAGCATCAATGATACAGACACACAACCTGGGTGACAATCATAGTTATTTCACATAAATGCACTCAGAGCACTACTCAAATAATATTTGAATTAACTTCAAACTAAGCCAGGTTGATGCCGATGAAACGGTCTTGAAAATCAACTACGGAAAGAAACAACAGTACATTCATCAACAAGACGGTCTCCTTTTATATGTTTTTGCTTTCATGGTGTGAATGTTCATTACTATTTCAAGATATAGTTTAAATGATGGTTTGGTGAACTAAAATGATTTTTTATCATTCTGTTGGCTTTGGCGTTGTTTCACCTGTTGTTTATTTCTTTTTATATTTCATCTCATCAATGGATGGAATACAGCTTCATATCGAAAAAAAGAAAAAGAGAGAATAAAAAGAATGGAAAAATGAAGAGAAAATTATTAAGATGTTAACCATATCTCCTACTTTCCTTTATTTCCTTTTTTTAGTGAGACCATTTACCCGAGTAAAGGAGGGGGAGATGAATGAGCCGAGACCACGTCTGAATGAGAGCAAATGCGAGCAATCCTGAGGACATGATGACTAAGAAGGGCTTAACAGAATTGAAAGTCACTACTTATACCAACAAGGTGCACTTTCGTTTTTGGTGGCTCAATCATAGGAACTCCTGTGAAATTTTTTAGAATGCATGTAAGTGAGAATAAAGCATGCTGGAAGGACTTGTGTTGGTTTGTAAGGATAGTCTTCACTCTTAGAAGTATGAAGTAACTTAACCACAGGGATGCAAGGGAATGCCGGGGCAGTTAGGTGCCAAATGCAGATTTCGAATCCTAGGCATGGGTCGTTACAATATTTGTAAATCTGGGAGATTGACATTTCTGTTTCTTGTTTTGATGCAAGTGTACTTTTCCACTGAAGATTTTCCTTCTTTGTTTTCAATTCCTATAAATCTATAAAGTTTCCCGAGCATAGCACTATTTGACCGATATGTTGCTGCTAAAAGATCAAATCTCTCCTTTTTGAGTTCTACAATCTGAGGATGGTATAAGTCTAGTTAAAGGAGAAGGAATTCAGAAATAAATGATATCATAGATATGTTGCTGGGCAACCCTTTTATTTTGGGGGTGGAGCCTTGTTAAGCTTGTTGTAAGAGTTTGGAAACTTGTACCCTTTCAAATATCAATGAAAAGATTGAATTCCTCAACAAAAGACAGAAACTTCGTCGGTCATCTCTAAGAAGTCTAGACGTACAGAGTCAGTGATTACCCATAAGCTTGAAAAAAGTGTTAAAAGTATCTTTAATCAAATTTGATAACTAATATCAGGTGTGGGCACATAGCGAAGAGGGTGACCACTGGCCATTAATGCTATTCTATTTTATCTCCAAAATTTACTCTAGATTTAGGCATTAAGTACGCAGGAAGGAAAAAAACTTAATATGTAAGAATTGTCACATGTATCTGTACATGTTGACTTCTTAGATATTACCTCTTCCGATCAATATTGACCACTATTAGAACCTAGAGTCTAAAGTTAGCTGTATTGAAAGACACAACCCAAAAACATAATGGCTCGAGCCCATTGGAGAATATATTAAAGTTAAAAGCATTGGAAGTGAACATGCCAACCTAAGCATTGCATAGATCAACTAGCTAAAGCTTTATATTATTGACCAAAAGGTAAAATGTTCAAAAAATCAAATCCCTACACCGCATGTTAGTAACTCAAAAAAAAAAAATATATATATATACATAAAAAGTTAAGAAAAAGCATTAAAAGTGATCATGGCCAACCAAATCCAGAGTTCAAAAGAATAAATATGGCTGATAATGTAGACATCTAGAAAACTTAGAGCATTCAATCATGAAATTCTATAGTTCCAGCATATGTAGTTTCAATTTACTTTTGGTGATAAAGGTCAACGGTTACACAATTATTTAGAAGCTAAACTGTATGTTTAACGTTTTTGGACGCAGGAAGAAGTTTGGCCCTCTAAAACTTTACAAGTAATTGACAAAGAGGCAACTGCTAATACTGCATCTGCACGATGACTATATTTACAATAACAAAGAAAAGTATGCATGAATGGGAGAAAAGACTCATACCCTCCGTTGAACCACCACATGTTGATAGAATGAAGCAATGAACTGCAAAATGAAATCAGTGCGCAACTTCTCAGTAGCTGCATTAATGAATATATAACATTTCAAGAGCCATACATTATCCTGTTCGAAGAAAAAATTATTATAAAAGACATAACTACAATGGTTATTTGGCAAGAGTCCACCACTATGAAGTCAAACATTAAGATAGACCCACATCTCTTACAAATGCTTGCTTTCTCACAAAAACTATTTCATACCAATAAAATTTCCCAGATAACTGCCCATCTTCCTTTTAAACTTGTGACCGAAGAGTAACTGTTCCTAATTCACTTTTGCATGTAAGCTTGAGAACCCATGGTGCTCTCTGCACTAAAAACGGAACCCTCCAACAGAATAAACTACACTGACAGAGCTGAAAACGAATGATTTTGAGTCTTTTCGTGAACAAAACATAAGCACACACCAATTCAAAACTCATTGCCAGTTGAACAACATCCACCTACTGACCACATCATACATCAGCCAAAAAAACAAGCAGCCTAATCTTGGAGTCTTCTTTTCTAGATTGTGTTCAAAGGGTAATGGTTTAAAAACTGACAACGTAAAGAACTCACATCATGGCAACGTGTCTTGCATTCTCTTACCACCACTATTGGTAATCTGCTTTCCTTGTATCTTTTCTAACAGAAAATACTTTCACTTCTTATTCCACAAGAGATCTTTTTTAGAAACGAAGAAACAAATGTAAAATCCGTCCTATTTGAAACTGCAAATTGTTTAATGAAAATTGGCTCTTGCAGAACATGTTAGAGCTCACTGACAATTGCACTCTTCCAACATTTTAACCAAGACGCTACACTCTGAACAGTACACAAGCATCGCCCTCCAGTAGCTACCCTTCCAACTCAACAATATTTTTTTTTTTGGGAATTAGAAATGATATATTAATTTTTTTTTTTTTTAAGGAAGCCTCTCGACTACATTTTCAGTTCCTCTTGAATCTTGATTACCTCTTTCACACCAGCAGTGTGGCAAAAAAAAAAAAAAAAAAAAAGTTCCATTGCAAAAAAAGTGAAGTAAAAAGTTTTGGATTAAAGTACTCGTTATTCTTAATCAAAATTTCAAATATTGTAGCATTGTGATCAACTCCATTTAGATTAATTTATCTTATAGGCTCACATGGGGTAAGATGTCTATTCTGTTATTTCAGATAAACCAAAATCAAAGATTCAGACTCATGCAAGTTTTATACATTACTCTATTTTTTTCACCGAAACACCAACTTTGTGTTCATTCCCAAATTCAAGACATAAATATGGTAAATCTTATAAACCAAATAACAAACTCTTACAGTCAAAGGACAGTAGTACATGCAATCAATAATTTCATTTATGCATAAACAAACCTGTGAATTTTTTGCAAGTTCAAGACCAAAATTGAAAGATGGGCTCAAAGGGCTTCCCGAACCCACATCATAGCCAATGGCACAACTCCAATTCATTAAATTTTTGAATGACCCACCATCTTTATTCCCATCTAAAAGAAACGAAAACAACAAGATCAATTATTTAACAAGAACCAGTTCAACTATTAATATAGACTTTTTGACAAACATTCAAAAACAAAAACATGAGTTTCAAGAAGCTTGACAAAGAAAGGATGTTGATACCAGAAATTTTCTTAATTGTATATACATAATCTTTCCGTTATAAAAATTGTGGGGGGGTAGTCGAACTAGAGGAAAATTATTATTATACAAAGAAAGGATATTGATATTTTATATATGATCTTTCCGTTATAAAATTTGGGTGGGGGGGG